TCTGAAGATCACACTGTACATCCTGAGGACCATGAAGCAAAATGATCTCGCTGACTTACTGGAGAAGAGTAAGAGCCTCATAACATTCTGTACATGTACAGTACTGTGCTAAAGTCTTAGGCAGCCAGAGAGAAGGATCTTCATGTTGGTGTGTGAGCCAATCCAAAAAATTTCCTAAAGTCACCCCAGTATTTGCAGAAATCGTACATCCTTGTATTTTTTTACTTGACCACTAGCACACGTCATATGGCTAATCAATATCTCATTGACATTTTTACTAATTTAATTAGTGAATGAAGTGAGCTGGTGGTGAAATTTAAGGAACACATGGACTGGCTATGGTGCCCTGAGGAGGTTTGGGAGCTGAAGTGATGATTTAGGGTTTTTTCCCAGAGCAACTTACTTCCCAGATAAATGGCTTTAAACTAGTGGTGTCAATTAATTAAAAAAATCCAGTTAATCACAATAATAGGCTGTGATTAATTATGATTAATCACACACTTAAAATGGTGGTCGGCTTTTTGCTGGTATTTTTTGGAAGATGAAACAAATACATGTGTGATCTTAGAACAAAGAAATGCAGGACAAACTGGTCAGAGGAATCGTGTTTTTCTAATATAACATCTTCATTTTGATGATTTCTGAATTATAATTGGAATTCTTTGTTCACATGTACAACAAATGTACAACATCACATAATGTACGTTTTTATCTGACCATTTTCACCAAGAGACCCCCTACCTTGCTATCGTGTTTGGGTCGGCACCGACCCGTTTGTAAGTTTAAAAGGCATAAAAGCACCACATAGATTTGTGTTCTGCATCAAGCCTTTTTGACTTTGTCAGGAACCTCTATTTAAACTAAACAAATTAAAACAAAATCAAGGCAAGGCATGCCCATACATGTAAGGCAAGATAAGACCAATTCGCTTCATTTATATAATTCTCTTGAGGTTTATTTTACCTTTTTTTTTTTTTGAAAACAAGAGGTATGCTGTCAAAAGAAAGGTCCAGAAAGCCACATCAAAAATATTAAAACCATTTTTTTTCATGGATAAGGAAGCCTAACAAGGTAACCAAGAAGTAAGAAACAAACTGGACGATAAATAATTGTTTTGAGGGTATTTTATGCCTGATTTAAGACACGGATCGGCACCGACCCATTTAAGATAAGAGATAGGAACAGAAAGCTGACATAGGACAAGGGTAAAATGGTTCAGTCTCCCGCTCTGGGCTGCATTTCCCAAAAGCACAGTTGCTGACTTACATAGTTAGGAAACACGCCCCCTGCTGGCAGACGCTCTCTCAGACCCGTAAGCAGAGACACCACACTAAACCACCATACTAGCCCTATAATGCGACGTGACGTCACACCTCTGCTCCCGATATACCCGCCCCCCCAATGTTATCACTGTAGCGCCGGTGGGATGGCTTCCGTATAGCTGGAGCCTATTAGCATATCCCAGCATGCTCGCCGGCCATGTACATAGCCCTGTTGTGTTTGTTATTGTAAATCCTTGTGCTGTTCCCCATTGTCCTGTGTGCCCTTGCCTGTGTCTTGCGTGAACCCTGCCGATCCTCACGTGTCTTTAGTCATTATATAAATTACCCACAGTTTGTGTGCCTTACTGTCCGGCATCTGTCCTCCCTGTGTTTCCGTCTTATGGTGCTTTGGTGCTTGTTGAGTACCTGTGTTAGTCTTTTTAAGGACTTAATAACAGGACATTGTTCTCCCCTTCAGAAGAGTCTCCTCGTCTTTCGCTGCCGCTGCTCGGTCTGCTGAGAACCACAATACGAGACCTACGGCCCAGGATCAGCGTACATGATTAATTTACATTAAAATCAAAATAGAGCATTAAGGTTTCCTGATTAATCGCATGCATTAACATGTTAATGTTGACAGCATTACTTTAAACATTTTCTTTGTCTGCCTACGACTTATGCACAATACTGTATGTGGTGTTGTAGTCAAATTTGTATGGTAAGACTTTACATTTCACATTTGTCACAGTCAAATATCTGGACTTGTATGTGTAAAAAAGTGTGTTTTTGGAAAATATTCTTCCCCTCATACTGGGCAGAATCACAGTAAAAATGTATGCATTTTCCTCTCATTCCTTTTCAGGACAGCTCATGCCGCAATATCTGCACAGAATCAAAAGTGACCTGAAGCAGAAATGTGAGTGTGTATTTGAAGGGAAAGCTAAGGAAGGACAGCCAACACTTCTCAGTGAGATTTACACAGAACTCTACGTAACTGAAGGGGGAGCTGGAGGAGTCAATGATGAACATGAAGTGAGACAGATTGAAACAGCATCCAAGAAAAGGCGAACAGAAGATACTACAGTCAAGTGCAATGATATATTTAAACCCTTATGTGGGCGTGAGACACCTATCAGAACTGTCCTCACTAAAGGGGTGGCAGGTATTGGGAAAACAGTCTCTGTGCAGAAATTTATTCTCGACTGGGCAGAAGGAAAAACAAACCAGGATGTTCACTTCATATTTGCTCTTCCTTTCCGGGACCTGAATTTGATTAAGGAGAAATACAGTCTGATTGAACTGCTTCACCGCTTTGACCCAGAACTGAAACCATTTCAATCCACTGAGCTGTTTAGGTACAAAGTCTTGTTCATCTTTGATGGTCTGGATGAGTATCGCCTTCCTCTAGATTTTCCGAGCAATGAGAGCTGGTTTGATGTAACAAAGAAAACATCACTGGATGTGCTGTTGACTAACCTCATTAAGGGGAATCTGCTTCCATCCGCTCTCGTCTGGATAACCTCCCGTCCAGCAGCAGCCAATCAGATACCTCCTGAGTGTGTCCATCAGGTAACAGAGATACGAGGGTTCGGTGATGCGCAGAAGGAGGAGTATTTCAGGAAAAGATTCAGTGATCAGAGCCTGGCCAGCAGGATTATCACACATGTGAAATCATCAAGGAGCCTCTTCATCATGTGTCACATACCTGTGTTCTGCTGGATTTCAGCCACTGTTCTTGAGAAGATTTTTAATGAGACTGACAAGGAAGAAATTCCAAGGACTCTGACTGAAATGTACACACACTTCCTGATTTTTCAGACTAGGTTAAAAAATGACAAGTATATAAAAAATGAAACCAAGCTTAATGAATACAGCAAGGAATTCCTTTTAAAACTTGGTAAACTGGCTTTTGACAACCTTGAAAAAGGCAATCTCATATTTTATGAGCAAGATCTGACAGAGAATGACATTGATGTCACTGAAGCTTCAGTTTACTCTGGAGTGTGCACAGAAGTCTTTAAGGAGGAATATGGGTTGTATCAGGAGAAGGTGTACTGCTTTGTGCATCTGAGCATCCAGGAGTATCTCGCTGCTTTATATGTGTTTCTGTCAAACTCATCAGCTAGACTGCTGAAGACTGCAGTGGATCAGGCATTAAAGAGCAAGAATGGACACTTGGACCTCTACCTCCGCTTCCTCCTGGGCCTCTCAACAGACTCCAGTAAGACTCTGTTACAAAAACTACTGGGACAGACAAGAATCAGCTCACATACCACTTTAAAAAGATCCTTAAAATGGCTACTGGGACAGACAACAGCCAAATACATCAGGAAGAAAATACAGGAGAATTTATCTCCAGAAAGGACCATCAACCTATTCCACTGTCTGAATGAACTGGGTGACAATTCTCTAGTAGAGGAAGTACAAAGATACCTGAATTCAGGAAGCCTTTCAGCAGAAGACCTCTCACCTGTACAGTACTCAACTCTGGCCTTTGTGATGCTGATATCAGATAAGGAGCTGGATGTGTTTGATCTGAAGAAATTCATCAGATCAGATAAAGAGCACTGGAGGCTGCTGCCTGTGGTCAAGAACTCCAGGACGGCTCTGTAAGTGACGTGGGGATGGAAATCATGTCTGGTTTGACAGTAATACATGAATATTGTTTGAAATGTCTGATGAATATTGTTATTTTGATCATTCTGATCACAGGCACAGCATCCTAACCTGCTATAGAAACAGTGAGGGCTGTTTATCCACAGGGTGTATAAGTGGTATGTGAGTGTTATTGTCAGCAGGTGTGTTTATGTGATGGAGCCCAGAGCTGGGAGCTTCCGTATGACTGCTGTCTCTGGCTGCTCGCTGTTGCCCTCTGCTGGTCTTAGCTGCTCTTGGCTGAGGAGAGAATAGAACAGAATATCTTTATTGTCACAGTATATGTATACTGTGTATATGTATATGTATATATACATATACACATGTATATGTATATAGTGGTACCTCAGAACTCGAATGTAATCCGTTCAGAACTCAGAACTCGAATCCTAAAAAGTTTGAGTTGTGATCAAATTTTCCCCATAAGAAATAATGGAAAACCAATTAATTGGTTCCCGGCCCCAAAAAATTACACCTAAATATGTTTTATTTTTAGCATTTAAAAACAAAATGAACTGGATAAAACAAGAAGAGCATATATTGTATTAAATACATCTAAGCACATATATCAAAACAGTAATAAAATAAATGTATCCAAACAATGTGTCCTTCCCCAATCGTCCGCTCCTTCCGTGTGCCACGTCCCCTCGTTAACCCCGTGTGGAATCCCCGTGTGATCAGCTGTTTCTGGTTGTTTTCATTAGCCCTCTATATTTTGTCCGCGTTTCAGTTTGTTTCCCCAGTTTGGTCAATGTATTTTCCGTCTGTGTTTTGTCTGCCTTACCTGTAATTAAACCCCGTATATCCTGATACCCTGACGTCTGCATCTTTGTCTCCGTTCTGTCCCCGCTCGGCACGACAATATTATTATAATTAAACGTATTAATGGTTTATCATTAATATTAATATAATGAATAATAAAACTTTATTTTTAAATGTATTTTATTGTATAATAATTACTGTTACTGTCTATCATTGTCTAAATGTATTTTTACTGTCTAAATATATGTATTCAGTTAGTGTAAACATGCACGGCGTTATCACAGCAAATGTGAGGCTGAGACTGAAGCGTTACCCTTTGTTTCTGCTGAGAGACGTGCCGCGTGACTCATTTTCCCGCGCCTACAAGTTATCTTAGGTCGGCATTCATGGTTTGACTTCTGAGATTCAGATTGAGCTCTAGGTAATTTTTTTTCGACCTGGTTGGTTCGACTTTTAAGAAATTCGAGCTCTAATGAGTTCGAGAACTGAGGTACCACTGTACAAAGAAACTCTGTGTGCTTTCCCACCAATAACAACACCTCCAGTCGGGCAGTTATATATTAACATTGTTCAAAGTATATAATGAAAATGTAACATTTATTTCCCCTGTGGATTAAACACGAGGCTGGATTTTTTTTCACCATGACAATCTGGAAGCCAGATTTTATATTGACTGAAGTGTAGTAAAGTGATAGGTTTTCTATGACCGTCCTTTGTGTGACAACCAGCCCAGAGCCACAATTTCACTGAATGTTCGGACACTATGCTTGTGAGTGGAAGGCCACTGGTTCAGATCTCCTGGCCAGCAGAGTGATGTCATCACTGGGCCCTTGAGCAAATCCCATAATGCCAATCACTGCAGGGGCGCTGGATGCTGGCCGAAGTTTGCCCTGTGCCCCCAAACTTCCTCTCACCTGTGTGTGTCTGTGTGTCTCATGGAGCAGAATGGGATTGGTGAAAAGACAATTTCCCAATGGGGATGAAAGAAGCATCACTGTTCATAAATATTTATTTTAAATGAATGTTCCTTTTAAAAGCATATCTTAAAGTATTGGTAGTCCTATAATTATGGAATTGGTAGTTTTATAAGTTCCCAGGTAGAGAAAAAATGATTTCAAGTATTCAGGATCAGGAATTCAGGTGTCATTTAAAAAGCATAAACTCCTCTGGACATCATTCAGATCCCACATAAACACACACACATATCCCAGGCTGGAACTGAACCCGAAACCCTAGATGGTCGGCTGTAGTGCTCATCACTGAACTACAGCGCTGCTCAGAGCTTTATGGAAATACTTATGTGGATATTAGAGTCTCAGGGTAACTGGCCCTTTAAGACCATTAAACAGCAGTGCATTAAAAAGTGGTTTGCAGTTGGTTACAGGGTTTCAAGGACATAGAAACAACAAGATAACCTGTGACTGAATGAATTTTAGACTATATATTCACACTCATGCCCTCATTCAAACAGGCTCTGGAAGATAATGCAATATAACACATACAGAACATTATTGGGAATATGGTCTGTATGACTAATGAGAATAAAACTATAGGCTTTTAACTTATGATAGACTTACCCACTATCAATGATTATGTGACTGCAAAAAATGGCCAAAATACACAGTGAACTCACAGGAGATCCTGTATTGTGCCAACAGCTGCTCATTTGAGTAGATTGATCCAGTTCCTGAATATTCTGCACACAAAACCTTTCAGGATATTTGTGCTTTGAAATGAAATTGGTCACTGTGTCACTGTATTCTTCATGACAGGGAACATGATGACCATCAGAGGATTGGCCAAAATTAAAAATGTACCATATTTAATCATTTTTCTGACTGTGGTGATTTAATTTTGTGTTGTGTTTATCCACTAATTCTCTTTGAATTATACTATAATATGTGCCTTTTATTATGCTGAAAAAAAGTTTGATTGGATATTTTGTATCATTATAATCACTGATGTGTAGGATATATACTGGTCTGTATGTGTATAATAACACAGCTCCTTTTGCAGGCTGAACAGCTGTAATCTCACAGAGAAATGCTGTGAGGCGCTGGCTTCAGCTCTCAGATCAAACTCCTCACCCCTGAGAGAGCTGGACCTGAGTGACAATGACCTGCAGGATTCAGGAGTGAAGCTGCTCTCTACTGGACTGGAGGATTCACACTGTAAACTGGGGATACTGAGGTCAGTATTACTGGGGATTCCAAGCTGTTAACTGGGGATACTGAGGTCAGCATTACTAGGTATCCCACTCTGTAAACTGGGGACACTGAGGTTAGTATTACTGGGTATTCTACACTGTAAACTGGTGATACTGAGGTCAGTCATATTTGTCCGGTCAAATAGTAAACTTGTATTTCATGATGATCACTATGATCACTGATGTGTAGGATATATACTGGTCTGTGTGTGTATAATAACACAGCTCCTTTTGCAGGCTGAACAGCTGTAATCTCACAGAGAAATGCTGTGAGGCGCTGGCTTCAGTTCTCAGATCAAACTCCTCACCCCTGAGAGAGCTGGACCTGAGTGATAATGACCTGCTGGATTCAGGAATGAAGCTGCTCTCTGCAGGACTGGGGGATTCACACTGTAAACTGGAGATACTGAGGTCAGTATTACTGGGAATTCTACACTGTAAACTGGTGATACTGAAGTGTCATATTTGTCCAGTCAAATAGTAAACTGGTATTTCATGATGACACTGCAACTGCGACACAGATCAAACCACAGGCCACAGGTATTTGACAGCACAATTGAGACACCCTCCACCCTGCAGACACAGTAAGGGCTGGGAAGGGCTGAGGGATCAGCCACATGGCCAGTTCATTTACTCTGACTTAAGCTCCTGTTTAGGCCTCTAGATGCAGCAGAAGGACTAATATTATAAGAGCCTCTCATGTCTGAAGTGTCTCAGCCAGTAATGCGGCTGATCCTCTATCCAAACTGTCTAAGCATGAACTATGTCAGTAATTTATATTATAAAGTGATTCTGTGACGTTTGCAAGGCAAGTCACACGAGCGAACTGCTGCACTCACACCATTTCATTCCCACTAAGCAGGTATAGATTTCAGCTTTTTATTTCTCGGAAAAGAGGACATGATTCGGATGTTTTATACTGTTTGTTATTGTTATACTGACTTAATATTGTTACACTATGTACTAGAGTAAATACCTGGGCTGGACTTTTCACAGTGTCATAGCAGAGGAACCTAAATCACATTTCCTCAGATGGAATTACACCAAATAAAATCCTCCTTTATTTTGGGTGCCTGCTGCATGGACCCCTTCCTGTGTCACATCAGCTGCCTGTCAGCTATGAGAGAGGAATCACTCCTGTAATCAGCTCTCACTGCACTGTACAGATCTGTGTGGACCACAGTGTTTAAAATGTTCACGTGCTAATGTCTCTCAAACAGGATCCCTGAAAGTACTGTTGCATCCATTAATATTTCTGCAGTTAACTTCTAACTTAATAATTTGTACGATTTTAATATAAAACAAGCCGTGCATCAGGTAGGTCGGCCTGACAGGCCTGCATTAGCTGCTGGGGATGTTCACATCTCCTTCGGTCAGAGTTCCTAGTCACTTTGGGGACACCTGGCAGAAAGATGGCTGATGACTGCCAGTCATTTCTGTTGCTTGTCTAACCCTCTGGAAAACATGACAGAGTCAATATTGTTTCGTTGCCCATGACACTAAGCAAAGCAAAACTTCCCAGGTTTCACTGATAAAAAGTCTTAGCAATTGCAGCTGCTGCTGAGATGCTCAGCTACAGAACGGAATATTCTGGGCCTTGAAAATACTGTGAAGCTGTGACACGACGGAGGCTAACATGAGACAGCTGACAGATACAGAAACTCCTAAGCTAACACAAGGTGCTCATTCATACCTATTTTTAATCACATTGTACAGCAGCAGTAATTGGTCCACATTCCCTAAAGGTTACAAGGTCACACTCTGTATGGTTACATCAGCTTCAGGTTACATCTTCTTAATTTCTCTATGTGTTATACAGTACCATGTAATATTCCATATGGACACCCCCAAAGGGGCGGTCTTTATTTTAGGGGGATAAGGGGGGGCATTTA